GGCAGCCCACTGGGCGACGACAAAGGAACGCACCCGATTGGTCTCAAGCGCGGAGCGCCCCCGCCGAACTCCGCAATTGGTCAACGCTATTAGAGGGGCAGCACCCGATTCGCTCGGGGGCACGTCCATCCAAAGCAGGCTCGCCCTCCACGCCCTATTGGTCAGAGCCGAACGTGCCGCGGGGTCCCATTGGCCAGTGAACGCGTCAATCACACAACGCCCCACAAAGCCACGCCTACCGACCCGGTCGGACCCGCCTTTCTAGCGGGGCGGCCGCCATCTTCTTTCCGCCTCCTGGATATTTAAAGGGGAAACGGAAAGGAGGACCGTTCCACCGGACTCACTTTTCTTCTTCGGCTCTTCTGGCGCTTCTTCGGCCGTCAGCTGAACCGGCGGGGGAGATCCGTCGCCGGTTGGAGTGTCATCCCCGTCTCCGGTAACGGCGGCGCCGGCGGCTCCGTCGGTCTCGGTATCCGCCATCTTGGAATTTTTTCCGCGTTTCCCCCCACCAACGAAAGCGCTCTCCGGAAGTACGCATTGGCGAGGTCAGGACGTGACGTCAAAGTCCTGGCACGGGCGGCGCTGCCGACCTACGGGGTGTGTCCGGCGGGCGGCGGCCATCTTTGATGCTGGCAAGGCCATTCAGCCCATCGTGACCCTATCCCTCCTACATTCTTTCTGCCGGAATCTGCCATCCCAGCCCCTCCAGACCGTCCCAAATGGATTTATTTCCAATCCCCCGACCTTGCCCCTCACTTTGGGAGTGGGAAATTAAAATTGACGTTGCCGAAAGACCATGTCCCCGAGCAATTTCCATTTTTCTTGTATCTGCAGCGTTACCAAACTCCCTTCACCTATATCAAGGAGACGGTCTAGACCCTAACCCTTATCTGACTTAAACGCAAGTGTAAGGTGCTGTGTTGCTGCACATGGGTGCAGGTACATACTTCCCTGAAAGCGAGGTGGGGGGGTCGCGGTCCCGGGTAGACAGGGCGGTGAGGAAGGGGGTTCGGCGCGCTCGCCTTTATCGGTCGGCGCGTTGGGTACAGGAGTCGTGTCGGGTAGAGGGTGGGGGGCTGTACGGGACGTTGGTCGGGGCCGCTTTTGGAAATACCGCCTTCGATCCCGGTCTCCCACCCCCCGGCTACGGGAAGGACGTCGGGAAGCTCGAAAGGGGGTTCGGAAAAGGACGTCGGAGGGTT